ACAAATTAGCTAAACCTAATAAAATGTCTTTCATGTTTTCTACCTTCTGCATGCAGAGTTTAATATTTTATGTTTACTATTCTCGTTGCGCGTTTTTTTCATACGATTTTCTCCCTTACAACAACATTGTATTGATGTAAATTTAACGCTACCAATTACCGCCGGAATTCTAACACACAAATAAATTTAGGGGTTGTATATTATGATGATAACTTTTATGAAACTGGTACCTCGGCGATTTGTCGCATTAGTCTAGATTTACGATGTGCACAAAACTAAACGCAAGAAAACAAATTCGACCTTAGATTAGGGGAAAATCAAAATTTGTACGTTGTAAATTTGTGTGAATATCAGACAACAAATAAATTTGTCTCCTCCATCTGCATCCCCCTAAAACTATCCCTATTTTTTATGATGCGGAATGATAAGTGGTGTCTAAGTTTTACGACGCTGCCATTGTTACAAAACAATAATTCAAGATTTCCATCGCGCTTCGCCGCTTGAAACGTCTTCACTTTAAAATTCTTTGTTAAATTTTGATGCAAAATATATAAGACTTAATGTATTCATCAAGTCAGCGCCTCGTAAAAAGTGTTATACCTGTGAAAAGCACAAAATTTCGAGCGAAAGCGCGCTGCGTTTTTCTTACACTTCATAAATATTTGAGTTTTAATTAAAGCGCAAAATTTGAAGATTGAAGCGCGTTGGCAGCCATGAATATATCTCCCCTTCTTTATATCGTGGCGCCCTTCAAATATACATTGTGACGTGACCCTCGCCGCCGGAGGAACAGGCTTGATAAACACATCAATTTATTTTTGTTGCTCCTCGAGGGTCCTATTCGAAAGCCCCGCCTTCTCGATGCGAACGAACTTGTCATTCCCATCGCATTAATTTGGAAAAAAATATTTAAATAAATTAAATTTCCAGTGGAAGCAATTAATTTATAATTACTCCGCATAATACGAATAGTTTAATTCCCATCTAATTAAACACTATATTTATTATTACCGATTTAAAGCGCCTTGACGCAGGCAATATAGAGCATGTTTTTGCATCTATTGTCTGTTATTACTAGACGTATGAATAAGCAAATGCGAATAATACGAAAGCACGCGTCCGACGCAGGTTAGAGACCTTTTGAAAACCGTATCGACCTTGGAGTTGGCTCGGTGCGGCATGCCAGAACGCTTGCAATAATATTGCGACTGAAATTGCTTGAATTTATGCCCGATGGCTTCAATGCGCCGCCGAAGACAAAAAAAGCAAAGCGAACGAAATACGTGGAATGACCGTATAAGCAACGAAGCCTTGAAAACGGCAAAAAATCTTTTTGACACTTTCGTTTTTGCATTCTGACCTCCGACTACTTCAACTTATCTTCTACCTAACTACAACTCGGTAGCTGGCATTGCATTATAAGAAAATCTCAAGATACGCAGTGGTAATTTTTGCAAAGCAATTTCCGCCGTCGGCTTCGCATGAAACAACATACAATATGAATAATAATGAACGCGAACCTAATAGGCTGTCATAATTGCACAGAAAATGTTGGTAAGCCGGTAATATAAGACCGTGTGCCATCCGCGGGAATCGGATCGTCTGCATGCCGCTGCTGCGAGGATATAATTGAAGAAACTGGGTATAGAAAGGCAGCCGGCGCGCATGTTTATTTATATCTTATATCTGCTTATATCTTCGGCGCAGCGGCGCAGGGCGAGTGTAATATACGACCGTCCTGCTTCATCCATTGCCTCTCGTGTCTCCTTTTAGCGGCGGCGCGGCGGATCACGCAGAGATATGGAACGGCTGCGCCTCGGCTGCCGAGATGCCATAGGGGTCTATAAATAACATTTTGTTGCATTACCCCTCCAAGATATAAGTAATTTATGTGACAGTGCGGCGCGCAGTGGAGATGCCGTGCGCTTTCGTTGGGCCTCAGCGTTGTTGCGTCCCCGGTGGAATCAACGTGGCTGGTTCGGTTGGTATGGTTTTTTTTTTTCGTTTTCGTCTTCTCACACAGCGGCCATGACAGAACCGGGTTCGGGTTCAGGTTCAGGCCCTCATGACCACAACAGCGAGGAGATTATATTTATACTACTTTTAAGCTTTCGTATAAATATCGCCTCTTTCTAGTGTAATGAACGCCCGGATTAAATTGCTACATCATCTCCCCCGAAATATTCGAGTTAATATTCGCGTTGCGTGATGCAAGAAGCAATTAAATAGGAGAATGAGTGACTTGGGCTTAAGTTCTTCAGTAGTCACTAAAACTAAAAGCCTTGTGCTATTCATTGATAACTTGATGAACGATATATACACGCGAAAAGGCAAAACGTAAGTGGGAAGTTTGTCGTTGAGAATCTACACGCATCATAATAAATGATAGGATATACAAAGTGTTTCCAATAATCACATAGAAAAATAATGCGAATTGTAAATCTTATAAAATACTTGTTAAACTTAAAAAACGTTTTTATTTTGTTTTGAAAAATTTAATTTTTGTGCATTTTGTTGAGGAGCTTGTATAAACGTTACACAAAGCTCACGTAATCATCGTTGCAGCGTTCTTCCCATTAAAGGTTTGCTTATACCTCCACTTTACGACATCACGCAATGGGTTGATTGCTTTCCGTGTGTGCGGATCGCGGCGCTCCTCGGGGAAGCGACATCAGATGAGCTTTAGCGCTTTAACATTATCCATCCACCCTCGCCCACTCACGAGCCTACGAAACTTGCGCCCTGCGAAAAGCTGATAGTTTATATGCGTTCCCATCTCCTATATACCTCTGCACACTTTTAGAGAGAGACTTGGATACCATTTCTGGCGAAACTAAAGTCGTTACCGGATACCTCGGATGCGCGCATCTAAACCCGGCGTAAGCTCATCAAGTCGTTTAGCCGTTTCCTGTCTGTGCGGAAAAGGGACGAAGGAAAGAGCCATTACGTCAAATTTAGCAAACTTCGTGATCACACACACACGCAGAGCACAAGGTCCATAGGCTGAGTAAACATTTGCCAATCGCTTTGTACACTTATTAGAGTTGTGTGTGCGCGCTCGACGAAAGGCGAGTCGTTAAATGGGACGAGGATAACGGAGGTGGACATGCATGGACGCTGGAGTACAAATGTGATTGGACCAGAGTGGATGGCTTTTTGACAAATTACAAAAAATACAAGCGTTACTCAAGCGCAAATAAAACAAAACGAGTTGAAGCTAAAGCTAAATTTAACGCCGAAAGGGTTGTAGGACTAAACAGATTTAGGTAATTGAATCACGCCGCACCCCTTTCGGAAAATAATTTGCATGCACAGCCAACACCATGTTGCAGTTGCCAATTTTAGAATCTCCCCTTTTGTTAAGCCCGATTTAATTAAATTTTGAAATTATCGCAGTGGTGGTATTGGTGTAATTCGCAAAAATAAAACAAGTAGACGGATATTTTTGCTCGAAGCGTAAAAGTTTCAAGTGCAATAATCAAGGTGTGCGACGTTGGAACGAACGGGTCGAAACATAATTTTCTCATGTTTTTATTGCTCTTTTCGCTCGATTCCCTTGATTGCATTGAGAGCCATAAACAAGAACGGAGCGCACTAATGAAGTTAAGATTTGTCGATGATAACAACGTCGACGGGCGAATGCGAGAACCAATTGTGGAAATACGACGCGACGACAACGCGGGCGTACGAAAAACAATTGCCTTGGTAATTGTAAAGATTTCACAGTATCGATTAATAGAAATAAACCATAATAAAATACGTTTTTTAGGAAAAACTTTAAGTGTTCCTTTGGAGTCTTTCCCAAAAAGTTTCCAAAAAGCAAGTAATGGCAGTCCATCAGTGGATAAAACACACAAATAAAAATACGTCTTTAATTCGATTTTCAAGCAATCGTTATCGACGATCAGTATTTCCTTCGGCGCTTTTTATCTGCCTACGTACGTCGTAAGCGTTCCAATCGGCTCGAAATTAAATTACGTTAAGTGCTACGTTTCTACGTTACTCAACGGACTTAGAGAGGAAAATCGTAAACGAGATAAAAATGCGTTAGCGTCAAATATGTAAATGTGACTATGCGACACCCAGAAAAGTGATTTGGAGGCAAATCAGTTGAATGCGCCCAAAATGGACGTCGCACCAACCAAACTCAGTTGGAATAATAAACAATAAATTCACTAATTTGACACTAAATAAACATTTTCGAAGTAACTAAGTATGCAAATACTTAAAATGCTTTCAAAAGCACTTGTGAACATATTACGGATGTGCTGATTGAATATTTGTTATTCCAAGTCACACTTTAAAATAAACCGAATCAGAATATTGTGATGCTATAGCGAAACAAACGTTTTAAAAGTTTTGTAGAGTGAATTTTACCTCCCGTCGCTGTGTGGTGCAGGTTGGCTGGCATAACGCAATTGGTTCGTGTGGCTTAAGTCAGGCCCGCGCTGCCACACATGCTCGTATGTGATCGCGAGCGCGTTGCAGTCGCTTTACACGTATCTATAGTGAACGGTGGGTTCCCTGCTAGGTCACCAATTGCGCGCCTGTGTTTCCAACTGTGACTTAACTTAAGTAGTGACGCCGCGCCAGCAGCCATCATAATGAGTCGCACTTGACCATGTCGCACCAAAACGCACAATCACATCGCTCAAGTGTCGCGATAATACTCACAGTGATCATCATTTATTTTATAGCGGATTATACGAATGCACTGCGATCACACAAGGTAAACAATTTCAAAATAAACTGCCTTAGATTAAAACCCGCGTGCGCGCGATGACATGTTACTCAGTCGAGGCGACGTTTGAAGACTGAGGCGCGGACAATTTGTGGTTTCATAGCGAAACCGCATAAACCAAAATATTTTTAATGTGGCCGTTGTTACAACCCTTTTTTGCTTGCCTGCGTAATTCCTGTAATTCAACGCCTGTAAAAGTGAAACTTTCGGTTTGAAAAGTGAAACTATTGCGCAAAAAAAAAACCAACAACGTGCGAAATTTGACTCGCCGCTTTACGAGCGCAAACAAATTGTAAATTTTCGTGGCGTGCCGAAAAGTTCTAAGCGCGCCCGAGAGGAAGGGTTTTATTGCTTTATTGGTATCTTCATAAAAGTCGCAGCCCGTCTACTCCAATTATGCATATTGGCTATTGTTGTCTCTATTGCGAGTCAACTTTCGGTTGCCCCATGTGCATTTTTTGCTGACAGGCGATCCTCGTCAAGATAACTTGAGACCACGACCTCGTGGATGTCCACAATCCATGCGTGCGTATAATGGGCCGCATAGTTTAGGTAGGCAATCCCTCCGGCAACCCCTTGGCCCATGCGTGCCGCACGCTGGTTGGCTGGTCGGGGCAACATGATGGTATGGCATAGATTTCGGCCGCTCGCTTACACACCATGGTCGTCGCTTTGATACTTTTTTTTAAGCCGCACGTTTTTAATTCCAAGCATTCGAGCCCACTCGCCGGCGGGTCGCAGCACGTCGCGAGCCAACGAATACGGGTTACCATCAACCAGCATTCATCAGTGATTGTGTGCGCGCCGACAATTGAATCACATTTTTCGGCAATAGTGACAATAGTTTTCGAGTGGCAAGTGAAAGTGTGGCAGAATTCTGAAATCAAACAAAAAAAGGGATCCATACAAAATTAATGGTAAAAAAATTATATTTCGTTTTGTAGTGTTGTGTTGGAAGTTTCGCAATAAGCGCAGCATAATAATTTATAGCATTTCGTTTCGGTTATCATTGCGTGCACATTGCGCCGATAAATATACGCAAGGGCAAAGCAAATAATTATGCATAAAATAATCGTTCATATACGCGGAGATTTTCGCGCTGGTTTACCTATGGCAACCCTGGAGTTCGTGCAAAAACACAAACACAAATCGTCGACAATTCGTTCGACAATGGCGACAAAATTAATAAGTGATTGAGTATCACGTTTAGTTACACGGTCTCAACATTTGTTTACGCATTGTGCGCCTTATACGTTCAAGTCACGCGTATCAAAATACGCTTGCAAAAGAAGTGATTAAGCAAACGGTGGTTTTGGAATTGCGCGCCGGCCGATAACTCGCGACTAATGTGCGATTAGCGTTTCGCGCCTAGCAAAGCCGGTTAAACGCTTTGTCGCGCATAGTTTACAACTTTTTGCGGCGCGCGCAAATGAGGAATAAGCGTCGAAAATGAATTACGCACTTCGGGGCGCGTTGAAGACGCGCACGCCACAAGAAGAAATCCGTATTTGCAGACTAAGCAATCATAATAAACATGTCTTCGTTTTATGTCCAACATTTGCTCGTAAAATCTTATCCCAGATACAAACCATGATTGCGTTTTCTTATGCCTTGCGCGCGCGCGCGCTACGCTGCTTTAAGCTCCCAACTTTGGCGGAAAACGAGTTTGGGCGGCGTTCATTTTACTCACGTCCGCGCAAAGTGCAAAACCGCAAAACGCAAAATTTGAAAAACTAATTGCAGGTGGATGCGCCGGGCATTTGCGTATTTAGTTCAGAAATTAATTATTTGGCGCATATAATTTAGTTATGAAACGAGAAACTCTTAAAAACAGTGCTGAAAGTCAATAAAAATGCACTAACATTTAAGCTCGTAAATCTTTAGCCTTTTTGCCGACTGTAAATCAGATTAATTGCTCCGGAATTGTAAACTTTTTCAGTCTCTCTACCTAGTTACACCTATCCACTATTTAAAAAGCACTTTGAGTGTTGTATCATATTTACTACTGATCTAACATCATTTGACCAATTTGTTGCTGTAGATTTTATGCATCACTAAACTAGACATTTGATGCCAAAAGATGTTATTTAATTATTCCGCCATAAACATAATTTTATGAAGCTAATAAATGCGGAAAAAGTGTCGAATTGCCCGGCAATACTTCAACACACACGCCCGCTGCGTCAAATTTCAACATTTGAAACAACAAAACCAACAAAAAAAGCGGCGTAATTTTTTCTTGTATGCTTACATATAACTAACTACAACCATCAATTGACTCATTACCTAATGAGAGTTTGAAATGCGCGCGAGGTTTCGCTCGGCTGCTTCGGCCGTCGCATAAATAATTTACGTTTTATTGTCCTCGCAAAGGCTTTTCATGCTTATCATCCAGCATGTATGCGCTCATGGTTCAACTTTCGTTGCAACACTGTTTTAGGTATGCGCACGTCCGAAAACGTGCGCCGCGCGGCCGTAAATATTATTTGAATATAATTTATAGACGACAGGACGTCTTTCTTGTGCTGGTCGCTGGTTGGAGCTTTCTAAGCTCTCTCGGCGCGCGCGCCCTGCACGTGTGCAAGCAGCGACAACGGATTGCAGTTAAGCCGCGTGCCCGACGGCAATTTATGTAGCCTTTCTGCAGCCATTTTTCTTCTCGGACGTCGCGAACAACGCCGTAACAAATCAGAGAAAAACACGTAGCGAACAACATTCTACATGCGCTGCAAGTGAACGAAACAGCAACAAAAAAGAGCGCAAAATATACCAAGTACCAGCGCGAAACACAAGAAATTTTAATCTAAAACTTTGTTCATTCTCCATTGCGGTGTAAATAACTACTTTGTAACGTTTTATTGACTTGACAAACAGTTGCTTGATGAAGACGAACTATTACTGTCTGTGGCTTTCCGTCAACGAAAACCGCACACACCACAAGTAAAACAAAGCAAATTATGTTGTCGCGAACTTAAATGGAACATTGCTTCCATTATACACAAATGTCTTTTGTATTTTTTGTTAAAATTCAAATTTTCAGATGAAAAATTAAATTTAACTCGAATTGTGTTTAATTTCACGTCAAAACATTGTGTTTTCCGCATTCTACAAGTAGTAAAGTTTAATTACCATCAGTAATTTCGTTTGTAAATTAAATTTACAATTTATCACAAATTAATTAAATTTCAACTGCAATTAGACTGCATAAAAAGATGAAATCATGGTAATATAATGGTTGCGCTTGTTGAATCTAATAAAAACTTTCCAACTGCTCAAATAAAAGTGTACGGTACGGCTGTTGCTGCTGCTGCATAAACAATTAACACACATTTTCAGTTTTTGTTTTCTTCATTTGACTACCGTGGATGCTACCGAAACTAGTAGCGTAGTTTATGACCATCATCTCGCGCTTGAATCATAAATCAGTCACAATCGTACACAAATACTGCTCGTCTAGCATTTACCTACACGTCGCACTTATTTAAGTTGAATAATATTTATGCACACACACCTGACGTTTCGCGCGGCGCTTACGATGTCATCTTAACGGTGCACTTGGTCGTTCACCGACAAAAACAATGTGCTCAGCTTTGACAGACGAGATGATACATGCCACGCGACACACACCGGCAATAATATTTAAGTTAATGGCAGTGGTATAAAGTTAATGGCTTTATGATAGCCATTACGATATAGTGTCAGGAAATCAAAGTGTGTGGATGTAGGCGAAACACACAATCATTCAGTTTGCATTCGCCTTGAATGGAGTGTCTCAAGTGTACCTGAAGGCTCGAAATGGTCTTCCTGCAGTTGCATCTTACGTGTTTACCCTTTACGCTTAGGCGTTTCTGCTTGTTTTACGTTTTTACGTTTGCGCGCGCACTTGAGAAGAGTGACGAATGTCATTAAAAAGTTTTATCGGCCGTTTTTAGTGGTGCGGCAGTTCGCACGTGGCCGAACGACCCATAATGATATTGTTACATCAATAAACGTATCTACCACATCTAAACATTTGACACACACATACCAATATGTGTGTATAGTTACAACACACCACTTTTATATGTCAATAAAAATTTAATTTCGAATATGATTGACGGACCTGTTGGATTGTTTTCGTCGCGTCCTGCTCCAACTCGACACCTCAACAATTTACCAACGCATTTATTCTAATGCACTTCATTTGCGCAGCTTATACGCAATTACCATGGCGTTTTTTGAAGCGGTACTACCGTTTCATTGTAAGCAAATGATTACTTTTTGTTGCCGTAGTTGCTTCAGCGTATATTTTTAAACTCGGTCTGCAATTACAGCGCCGCTTTACGACGACTCGTATTTCATTTCCCGACCATCGGACGCATAAATAAAGAATATGCAAGCATGCATGTTCCACCAATGTGAGCGCTGCGCCCTTCGGAGAGAGTCTCAATCTTGAGTCCTGTTGCGGTCGGGACGCGCAGCAGCGAGAGTTCACGTCGGTGGCGGTCGCGGCATTCTTACATTGTACGCCACGATTTTACGATGTTATCGACGTCGGCCCCGGCTACGGACGGATGCACAGCACGAAGACGCCACCCGATTAAAAACCATCTAGCGTATTATAATTAAAATCGTGCGGTTCGATGCTGTGGGTCAAAGTCGATTTTATGACTTAATATTTTCGATCGCACAGCATTACGTGTGCCTAATTAGTCTAACGATTTTTTTAAATTTAAGAATTAACTTATTTTACGAGCTGCGCAAGACATGAGAAACTAGAATATTTTGTAGATATCTATCTAGAATAGTTACATATTTTAAAATTTGCAACGAATACTTTTACTTTGGTTTTTAGGGTGTGGCCGCAGTTTAAAAATGTCTGCTTGCGCTCCCGAAGTAAATCCTAATTAAATTTAATGATAAAATCGTGTTGCCGTAAATTATTGTCTTCAACGGTTCTTTTTTCGTTGGGGAATTTGTTAGAAATCGCTTTGGAAAAGCGGCTCGCGCACCGAAAAAAGATATAAAAGGAAAATAAGCGGAATAAAGGGGTATACGCTATTTCACGTCGACATCGACATTTGTATGTGTACGAGTGTATAGTCAAAATCGATTTTCGTATAAAATCCAGGCGTGTGTTGGTGTGTAACAACTCTCCACGCCACGTTCGCGCGCTCGAGCTGCGCTCGTTTCTTCCTTTTTGCGTTTTATATTTTACGTTTTACGCCGCCGTCTCCACAGCTTGCCTTTTCTTATCTGGTCGGCGTCGTGAACGTGCACACGATTCCTCGTGCGGAGCGTGCTCGTTTCATTCCGGCGGTGCGGCGCTTTTTTTTTCTCTCCAACGAGTCGTAGAGCAATTTCGAGCGGAGCCGAGTTGAAAGATTTTACTAGACGTTTTGTTGAAAGCGCGCGTTGGGTGCAGAGGCAATCAAACGCAAAAAGAAGTGTAATACGAAACGCGAGCTGGAGAACATAGGAAACACGCCAAAACGAGCGCTGCACACTACGGTATAGACGAAAGGAAATTATCTGTAGAATTCGTTTTCTCACAGTTTATAGCCGGTAGCTATATTTTCAGACAAATGCTAACTACGCAAAAAAAACCAGCATGGAATCGTTTAATTCTCAGCTTGGAACAAAATTTATTCCGTACTTTGGTAATTTTCATAAAAATGTACTATATCTTAAAATCTCACGCCGGTCATTTTGCAACTATCGAACGCAGGAATGTAAATATGTATTAAATTTCCATCGAAGAATATTCACATTTTGCGTGCACTCAGATAATCATGTTAGTTTATAGCGTATGCCGAGAATGACGTTTATGGTCGGCCATGGTGCCTATTCTCTCTGCCCGTGCGCATTTTTCACTATATTATGCTTCTACCATACGATTTTTCTTAATTTGTTTCGAAACGCACCATACTCTTGTTTTACCATCGCGCGTTCGCCGCAAGAGACAAAATAACCGTGAAAAACAGAAAGACTAAAGAAGCAGCAATATTACGGTCGACTCTCTGAGTCAGCGACGACCAGCAAGGCAAAGACTTTGATTTATACGCGATGTTGAAACAAGTTGAAAGGCTCCAATGCCGACGATGACGACGATGCGCTTCAGTCCTTCTTTGGCGTAGAAGACATGCCCATCCGTTGAGGCTACATCTAGGTAGATATAGGTATAAAGTTTGAGGCTTTGATGAACTAATTACGAAAAATATAAATTTAAAATGCGTCCCGCGCGCTTTTCATATTAATTGCTTTATTAAAAAGTGCGCGCCAGTGTCGACTGTCGGATTACGTCGATAAATTCTAATTATCTCGGGCTCGGCTTTTTTAGGTCTTGGTTCTGGTCTTGTGAACTGATGAAAGTAGAAGGGATCTCCGGCGTGCAGCTTCCATGATGGCGTGTTGGCGACGCATGCGTGGCGTGCCATAGCGGCTGTATCGAGCGGCGGGCTCCTGGGCGAGCGGAACGAACGTATTGATCCCTCGAGAGGGGTGCGCGCAAGATGGCCGCCCGGGTAATGTGCATTAGGGCCGCGCCGACACGACAACGCCATTTCCTCACCCTACCCACCCACTGGTTTTTGTGTGCGTCGTCGTCGTCGGATATCTCCTACCTAGCGTCGTGCGCGCCCTTGCGTCTGCAGCGTTTCGCTTCACGCTCCAATGGAGTGGACCTTAACGACGGGCGTTTACTGCAGCGCTATACCTTTATGCCGCGTATACGTAAAGATGAAAATCGTTGCACGCTCGGGGGCGGCAGACGCAAGCGGGGCGGTTTATACGTGCGCGGAGTCTGGAATGGATTCGGGGGGAATAAAATAAATTGCAAGCCATGTTTCCTCGTATATCTCCAGTGATCCTGGATCTCAGGGTCTCAAATGCTTTTTAGATTTTCCAAAAAAGATAAAAGATAACGCAAACGCAAGAAAACTACAAAAATTCATATTTGGTCGGCTAATATGAATCCAATTCCAGCAAAAACACAACCCTCACTTCCTGTCTGTCGCCGTCATTCAATATTTAAACGACATAAAAACGTCAATATCACTCACACTCAACAAATATTGTCTCCCCGGTCTATAGACTAAATTACCTACAATATTTTTGTAGTGCGTGCTTCTTTCCATCGAAATTATTTTTACTTCTTGCTAACGAACTGAACAAAACTGAACACCGCGCTCACATATGGCTGCTGCTTTATCTAGGCTTCCTTCTATTTCATCGCACGACCGCACCACGAGCGCATGAATGATGCGGAGAAAAATATTGTGATTTACAATGAAAACAACTCGTAAACATTCGGCTCGGTCGCTATAAATAATACGGAATTTACGTTTCTGTTTTCGAACGTTTGCGCGTTTCGGGCCGCTGGTACTTTAACGAAGGAAAATCATTCGGTTCATTATTATCGCTAGACAACCCCGGTGCCAGACTCAGACCCAACAAACGAGGAAAACTAATTTAGCTCGAAAACATTTTTGTTAATGAAACTTTCGTGGCTTGCGGCTGGATTTAACGGCTTTCAGTTAAGTCAAGAAACTTTTCTATAAATCACAATCTGTGAGTGCACTCAAACTCAAACGATGATTTATATTTTAAAATATAGTTACCAGGAAAATTGATCCCAGTTAATTATTGTAGAAATTTCTAATTTAAAATCTTTTCTCTTTCTTTCAACTTGTGGTGTGTGTGTGTATAAATTTGGTCAGATTATATTGGTTAGATACTGTCAGCCACGGCAATAAAACCATCTGACATTTCCATTTTTTGTGCAGCCACATGCCTTATCAAGACGCAGCTTTTACCTACAACAGCCTACATATTCTATTCATGGGAATTTATGTCTTTCCCTGCGTGCTTTCAACGATTCCATGTTCTTTTCCGAAAGATTTCATTCGCGATGCGGTCAAGTGTTCTGGTTTGTTACGTTTTGTTAACGCAGGTACACGAAAAAAACTACGCCCCGAGTCGTTTTTTGAACGGTTCCACCATGAAAAGCTTAAAAAATCGCCCGAAACAGGTAAAACTTGTTTGCGGCTTAAAACTTACGTGTGCTTAAATGAGCATCGACCGCGCTGTGACTCCCATTTTGTTTCGGCGTGGATCGTCGCGTGTGACTCGGATTTGGTGTCGCAATTAAAAAAAAAAAGCCCGCACATAATTTTATTACACATTGCACACGCCCAGGATTACAATAAATTGTGTGCGCGAAGAGTGTGTGTACGCCGTGCCATCCGCGAGTAATCACAATCGAATAAAATCGTCGTTAAATTTCAACCGCGCTGCTTCATTTGCTCAATATGCGTGCGTTGATTAATCCAATCACGGATTGCTGGTATGTTATTGGTGCACGCATTCATAAATTTAACACTTTTGATATGAATATTTAGAGATAAATTAAAACAAACATGCGGGCTTATTGAGAGACCCTTGACTTGTAACTTGTTACATCATCAGGGTTTGCGTCAAAACTGAGCTTAACTCACTCACAATCAACTAACTTTCTGACTATTCAGAAGATGTGAGTTTGTCAATATTTGGACGTAAATATTTAGGGTGAATACAATCAGAAAAGTGTGTCATGGTCAACCCTTTGGAGCATTTTACAACCTCCAATGGGTCATCCGTCTGTTTGTTTACGCTTGGTGAAAATATTTGACACTTTCACCAGTACAATCGCCAATAAACTCGGTGCTTTTACCTTTTTTTGCGTCATAAATGCTTAAACTTACCAGGCAATTGCTTGCGGCGCTCGGAAAGCTGGAAAACGAGCAATTGCGATAATTGCGCTTGTAATTTACGCAACGTGCCTGTTTATGTTTTCTGGCTGGACGTGCTGTCGTTGGAACAATGTGTCCTCGCGTAAATCATTAATCATTGCGTCGGGCAGGCCGATGCGACGCCCAGGCGGCAACACTTTTATTTGCTTACTCGTACGCGCCTGCCGCTCCTAAGTCAACATGCTTCGTTTACACGTCGCGATGCTTGCGTAATCAATTAGCTCCGTAAAAGGCGTTTAATTACATGAATGATAGGGAAATTGATGAGAACCTTTCTGCATTGTGAGTTAACCGCAAACAACTCAGCTCCAACATCTACATTTCCAATGATAGCGTTGAATAACGTTGAATGATTGTGGTGTCCGGTGAAATAATGTGGTTTTTCATTAATGTGTGTAGAAAAAGTGTGTAGTGATATGCATGGTGTACTGAGATTCCTTTGTTCAGATGATTGATGAACTAAAACAATAAAAATAAGTTGAAATTATTTGCACCACAACTCAATTCATTGGATTAATACTTTCCTTATCAGATAGATCATAATACACTACATTTTTATTCTTATCGTTGCACTTCTTGCACATTTCCATAAGATGGATTTGCGCGGTGAACCACACACATGTGTGGAGGTTATAATGAAAGTAATCTACCTTTTTTGATGAATATATGATGTTAGCTGGGCGCTTACCGGCACTGATGGACACTCTGCTTGCAACTTACTTACTACCAATCTTCATTCTTCAGCAAAACACATTTTAATTACTTTTTTCTTCTTAATTATTCACCGGCCCCACGCAGCTTCACTCGCTCAAGTCACGCTCACCGGAAAACAACGGCGGAGTACAAAAGCAACGCACGCTAATTTATGACCGCTGATTTGACCCCAGCGGTGCAATTCAAATTCAAATTTTTCGACGTCAGCGCCCTCTTCGAGAAAAATCTCAACTATAATTTAAAATTCAAATAAAAATGCGAATAAAATCAACTAAAACTAAGTTATTTTGATGATTGCTTTTTAAGAATGCGAGTAAATGATCCTGGTGTGTGCTGGGCTTGCCTTACATCGCAGGTACTTAATGCGCACATGGTAAATGTCAGCCATTCGGCTAGGATATGTATCATAAACTTCTTACATTATTACCATCCACTTGACATGTAATGTGCGCGCGTTTTGCCGGATTGCTGGAAACGTCCGGCGGGCTCACCGTCACAAGAACTCGCTCTGCTGCGCTGTGGGACGTGGTTCGGATAGCGCTCGCGCCCGCCATTTGCTGAGAGTTAAATATACGAGGCCATGAACCACAGCACCACGCTCACATAACACAAAACATTCAAGTCTCAATGTTGGGCGGACACGCCAACTGGAAAATTACGAACTTGATTATAATCGCTTTTCTTTCCAGCGTGCAATTCGCCATAGCCACAATAATTTATGAAAATATTTTGCTTACAGGAACTCTGAAATCCACTCAAATACACGATGTTCATTTGATGACGTTTTGAGAATAATTCTGGTGTCTTCAGGACATTAACGACGCTTCCCAGCCAAATTTGGTAAGTTATGCATTTGGATATATTTTATTTAAATGGGAATATAGAGTGAGCGGTTTTAAAAGATTACAAGGGCGGAGTTTGGAAGCAAAGATGACATATTTATTTGATGCAGCCTGTGAAACCGGCTGCACAAACGTGTTTTGTGGGTTGCCATCTTGAGATAGCCAGTCAAGTGTGGTCGAAGCAACCTGCGCGGTAATCTGATGTCTTTTGACTCTTGTGTCTGGAATGAAAAAGAAAAAAACGCACTGGCAAGCTGCTGTTGGTGTGGTAGAAGCCGGTATGCGGTGTAGAATGAAACGTGCAGGATGCTTTTGGTTTCCAAGTCGTCTGAGAGCGTTTTTTGTGTGCTGTGAGCTTGTTTCTGTCAGGCGGTCTTCATTAAGTGCTTTATTTCAAGATGGCTGACAAAGAATTAAGTTAAATTAAAATGAAAAGTATTCTGAGCTTTGTAGTTTAAATTTTAAACAAAAAAATATGGGTTTGAGTAATTGTCAGCCTTGTAGATACGATTTCACTTTTATTGCTCTGATTTTTTGCTTTACTTTGTACCGAAAGTTTGGGAATCGAAGGCCATCGGAAGAAATCTTTAAACTCAATTTGTTGTGCTGATTTTTTGCTTGCATAGACCTACAATATTTGTAAACTCAATTATCCCTTTTCTAACTATAAAACTTTTTGTACATTCATACAAATTTTGCCTAAATTCCCAGGCACTCAAAATAAATCGTAGAGTTACCCGTGTTTTAAATAAGTACTTACAAATCCAATAGTAAATTGTTTCCACGGTGTCGTTCCTTGGATTTTACTGTTTTTTTTTTCGAAGGCGAGAAACAACGCGACTTAAAATTTTAACGGCCGTTGTTAGTGTCCTTAAGTAGGTATATTTTATTGTTATTTGCCTTTCAACACTTAATCGAAAAACAACAGCGCTTTGAAACCAGCCGTACGCCGGCGTGAAACATGCGCGACGAACGCCGTACGCGTTTGGACACTAAATAAACATTAGACAATAAAATGAGCAACGAATAAATGAAAATTGGTGTAGAAAAAACACTTAAAACAATCGAAAAACACTTAAAACATTATCGAAACCAAAAAAATACAACCACGTTAATGGGATTCACAAAAATTTACTTGTACTAAAAACAAACGTTATCAATACTTGTAAAATAGAACAAATTTAAACAAAATTCAAAAATTGTATTTGATGACTGTTGAACAGAAGAACAGCGGAAACTATAGACAGGATTTATATAATACGCTTGTTACTTGGTAGGCTCACTGAGAGAGGGCGCTAGTAAAAAGCTCAAACGTGTGCAACACATCTATCCCTACTATATTCATTCTCGCTACATTTTGAATAGATCCAACTACAACCGTGAATTGTAAAATTTTATCTGCTTATTTAAACGTAGCACGATTTGCTTTAATTGGCTTATTATTTAATTGATTGTTCTGTCATCACGTGTGAATGTTATTGGCAATTTAATGCAACGATTTGGGTAATTGGGCATCGAGTGTTGATGCTGGGTGTTATAAAAGTCCAATAATGGGTTATTAAACTAAACATAAAATTAATATTACCTATCGCCTAATGTAAATGCTAATATCTTATTTATTTGCTCATCTTTACAATAAATTCAACGCTAAATTGGTTTATTTCACGCGTTAAAGTTAAAATAATGTAAGGACGTGGCTAAAACTGACCGGCAATTAAACTAATGGTTTTAATTTTCACCTGGCGCGTGTACATCGAGAGTAAAACAATTTTCATGCTTGGGATGAAAACTACCGTCGCACCTTTTCGCAGCGGATAACTTTGTAGGCACATAAAGATGCAAATAAAGGCGTTTAAGGACTCTCGTTGTGGATTATCCTTGCTTATTTTGTATGCTCGTTTACTCATCAGGGTGCTTAACATATATACACGTGTGTGTGTTTAAATATGACAGGATTACACCGTCTGTTTTGGATAATTAAAATTTTGAGGTTAGAATACAGAATTTACAATGTAAATTTACTGCCTACTACTACTCACGTATTCTCCTGCTTAATTAAATCTAATTTAAGTCTGTTTATATCTCATATCGTGGGTGTTCGATAAGAAAACAACAAATTAAACAAATAAAACAATCATCACGCTCGCAAGGAGGCTAAATTGATGCCAATAAAAAATTAATTAGCAACAAATAGATACAAACGTAATAAATGCCTCATAAATTCATTCGTTACAATGTGTGGTATGAACGTGTGTCATGCATCAGTCATTTAATATGGGCACTACGCACGCACGAACATTACATTCAATTTGCGCGCTGACGTACGAAAATTATTCCGAATTTCTGCATAATTTATGTTTTATTTCGTTGTACATCTTATTTAGAACAATAAAAACATACATATTTAATAAACATGACGCTATTTAGGTATAAATACACATTGACAGGACATCTGTGTATGTGCTAGTAAACTAAGTTATGTTTATTGGGTTGCATAACACTAAATCAACAAAAAGTAGAAAAAATGTCCAAAATTTTGAAATAAAACATTTATAATAATTAGAATCTACTTAATTAATTATGCGCTTAATTTTTGACTTCAACGTCTTTATATTATAAATTATTCCGTTTGCCTAATTAAAATTTCTTACTAATTAAATATACAATTCATATAGTGGCATTTTGCCATGCAAGTTCCCTCATAAATTAATTTTGATTTATATATTTGTTTAACTGAATGCATTATTTATATTTATATTACATAGGTATGTATAATAATTATATAGAACTGTTTAATGCGTAGTGTATAATTTTTTGCGACGGTGGTTAATAATTCATGATATAATGTTTAAAAGTCGAGGACATTCGTGCTAATCAAAAATCGATAATGTTTTTATTCCCATATTATCAGTTAATTAACAGACTAAAATATAATTTAGATTGGACGCATGCAAAAAGTCAGTGCGAGAGTGCAAAGTCATAAATTCATTAGTTTTTGACTAGGAATAACCTATCAACGCATTTTTTTCGATTTTATGCTTTGAATTTATTAATATATTAATATTTTAACATTGTTTTGCTTTCAAAAATAAATTTTAATAAATTTCAGAAAAAATATATTTGGCAACGTTGTAAAATGAACTGTCAAACGTCAATAGTTCTAAATTCTACCGCTAGATGGCTGTTTTATTACAAAATGTTTTGTTTGAGTAACTAAACTATATTATATATTCTAATATAATTCCTGTATGAATAATATTTCTTGATTTTTTCCTTGATTCAGTTTGCATGCGACTTCCGCTCGATACGCCCGTGTGTTGTGTCGGCGTCGTGCGTGCGGCGGCTTCCTTTGCGTTCGCCTTCGTTTTGCTCGCTCTTTGTTGGCCGGCCGCGTTCTCATGATAAACGCGAATTTAATCCCGATATCTGATTCGCGCGGCCACAGCGCTCAATACCCTGGCTTCCTGGCTTCTACCTGTGCTGGGTATCTTCATATACGCTGCTGACTTGCCTGCAATTAATTATAAATTATTAATACATTTTGTAGCAGCGCGGCTCCCAGCGAACGGGATTGTATGCTTTTATTACTTTCCACAAGAATTACTTCACTTAAACTCATGAATTAATCGAATAAATTGATTTGTAGTACGAGTACACAGATAGAAGTTTAATAATTAACCAATCAATATTCAAATAAATCAATGAATTAAAAAAAATGTTTAACGACATTTGATCCAATTACATACAATATAACTTTGAAGCAAGTTTAATGGCATCAATAACTTTAACAAGTACAAGTTCAGACACACGAATGGTGGCAAAAATCGTTGATTGATGCGCTCACATGCACCGCATATTTATTATCATTAAAAAGCAGCGCCGAAGAATTTCGTCTTTTTGATCTCCGGTAATAAGCGCGTTCTGCTATTCTGCCATTCTGCCATTCCGTCATTCCATTCTTCGTTGAGTTGATGCGCCCCAAACGTCCAATCCTGCGCGTCGCGCGGATAAGTTATTCGTGCGTTCCTTCGCATCTCTCCCAGGACCACCCAGCGTGAGCGGTGCGCTCATTTGGAACGCCGCGCGCTGACTGAGCGTATTTTCTTAATTGCTTTCCTCTGACGGCATTGGGGAACTTTCCGACTTTGCTCCGAAAAGTTGAAATATTCCGCTGACATTTTCAAACTTCACATCTACTGAAACATCCAAGCGAAGGTATTAGCTTCAGTTAGTATGACTACTCGTATACTTGTCAA